ACGGATGGGTCTACCAAAGGTACGTCGCCCGACGCAGCATCTTCCTCAGCATCGCTACGGTCCATCTCGTCTTGAAACAAGAGAAACTCAGAAATCCGAGCATCCTGCGGATGTTCCGGAGGGTTGTCGTTGGATAGGACCTCACAGTTTTGTTGATCACCTTGGGAAGAAGACATCTTAAAATTTTCTAGAGAGAAGTTGGAGAGAAACTTGAGAGGTGGAAGATATGAGAAGTAATGATCCAATACTTATAGAAAAGAAGAGCTCTTCCACATAATGAGACAAATCTTAGCCGTAGATTCCGATTAAAAAAACTAATTCCATCCGCCCGCAAAATTTCCTCAGGGAATTGCAGGCTGGGGGGCTAACTGTTGGTGTCAAAAACCGTAATCTCGAAATCAACGTCTACGATAACTTCTGGAATCATTACTTTCCGCAAAAGTCATTTATTAAAACGGAAAGTCGTTTTAATAAAACTCGAGAATCGTTTTATAAAACTCGAAGAATCGTTTAATAAAACTCGAGAATCGTTTTATAAAAATCGAAGAATCGTTTTATAAAACTCGAGAATCGTTTTATAAAACTTGAAGAATTGTTTTATAAAACTCAAAGAATCGTTTTGCGAAACCGCAAAAAACCGAAACAAGCCGTAAAACGCGAACTAGTCACGACTAGTTCGCCCATGGGCGAACTAAGAGGCACTCGACTAGTTCGCCAATTGGCGAACTAAGAGGCACTCGACTATTTCGCCCATTGGCGAACTAAGCCGGCCCGGCTTAGTACGCCGATGGGCGAACTAGAGATTTCTTGGATATCCCGCGCCTCGATCTTCCGCATTCCCGATTCGAAACTTACGACACGGTCGCATTCTGAACCACGGCCGAAACATCTCTCGTTCCATTTCGATCTGACTTATCGTTCGAGTTTTACGATAAAAACCGTAAAACTTCATTTTCTCGATAAAGAACTCGAAAAAATCGTATAAAATGGTAACGGTTAAACGAATCACCGAACATTGCCTAAACTACACGATTTATTCGAGATTTCTCGTTGAAATCATAAAAAACGTGTTTTTAATAAAAAACGTCGAGTAAATCGTAAAAAACGTATTTTTAATAAAAAAGTCGAGTAAATCGTAAAACCTTACAATTAACTCGAGGAATTTATTAAAAACGATGTCAGATCAGGAAACGATCCCGTAAAAGTCGGAAAACGGATTTATCGCAAAACGGCCCGGAAGGACCTAAAACGCGATAAAAACCCATCTCGCGATCTTAACGGACTCTAGCCCGAAGATTCGATAACGTTTTGACGGTTTACTCGCAGAAGGAAAATAAATGTCAAGTTCGAAGATAAAAGGCAAGTTTGAAGATAAGTAGAAGATTTCCGCAGAAGAAAAGGAAGGATCGAGAAAAATGGCAGATTCCCGAAATACTCAAATCCGGCAAAATGGAAAGATCGAACCATCAAGGGAAGGAGTATATAAACCAGAGGCGTAGGACAGAAGAAGGGGACAAAAATCAGACCTAAAAAGATGGCTGTTAGCTTAGGAATTTAGGACTTAGCGTTTAGACTAGCAATTCAAATCCTTAGAACGTTTCAACGTCTAAGTTCTTCAATTCTTCTTGTAACAGTTGTCGATTCTAATTTAATAAAAGCTTTCATACAAGTTCCTATTCTCTGTTCTTCATTGTTCATCCATATTCTTTTAAATTCGTTTGTTTTAGTGATTTTCGCAGAGATCCAGGACCTCGGGAAAATTAGGGTTTCATCCTAAGTTTCCATATTTGACGGAAAATCGACGGTGTGGATTTTGGTTCCCACACGCACAACTACGCCATCAACTCCGGATCGGAACAGGGGCAAACTACGGGGAACACGTGGTCAAGGAATCTGAACTACGACGAAAATTTGTTCTGCGATCTCCACCAGACTCGTGGGCACTCTACCGTGAACTGGAAAGTTCTCGGTGCCAGACTGGCCGTAAAGTTACTCGCGGGAGAACTCTCTGAGGAATCCAGCGTGAAGGACCTTATCTGCGATTCTGATTGCCCCCTGAAAACCGATAGGAACTCGCGAGCGGAAACCCTGCCTAAAGGGAACCAGCCGGGCGAAAAAAATGGACGAAGACAAGACGAGAAAGGTAACGATGCTAACCGCCGAAGGGTCAATGTGATAATTGGCGAATCATAATACTAGAGCAATACCATCTCGTACATCAAGTTTTACCAACGAAAATCTGAAACCGGTTGAAGTTGGAACGCACCATTGAATGACACTCCAAAGGGAGTAATCGCTTTTGATGACACGGAAACCGGCAACATCGATCAACCACATGCAGGTCCTCTCGTCATCGACTTAGTCATAAGCGACCTAGAAGTCGCCCAAATCCTGGTCGACACCAGAAACACCATCAACGTACTCTTCCACAACACGCTGGTGCGCATGGGAATCAATTTATCGGAAGTCGAGCCAATACCAAAGCCGTTGACCAGTTTCTCCGGCGAAACGACTATGACTCTAGGATCGATCCGGCTCCCGGTCGCCGCGAAAGAAGTGACGAAAATCGTTAATTTCGCAGTCATCTTTTCCCAGCCATCTACAACGTGATCATGGGCACGCCCTGGATAAACTCCATGAAGGCAGTTCTATCGACGTACCACTTAGTCATCAAGTTTCCGGAACCCATGGGAATCGCGGCAATTTGGGGATGCCCGAGACAGTCGCAATCGTGCTTTTTAGCCGAACATAAGCTAAGGCAATTGGTGGTCGCAATCGTGGAACCAAAACGGGCGAAGTTAACACCGCCATCCGCGGAAAACAACCCAAAACCAGCAACGGTCGAGAAGCAACAAGCCTCCGAACCCATCGCTTCTACCCAACCGGAGGAGACAAACCCGGACAAAGACGCCGATCCAGCGACTAAAGTGATCGAGAAGTCTGCGACAGCCGAGTAAACACACTCGCACCAACAATCATATCTATGAGATGGCTTGATTTCCGAAAGGAATACGTAGGCAGCTCGCCTAAAGACGAGTTCAGCTATCCCCTTTTCCGAAACGGGGGGGGGGTGTGGGTGTGGGTGCATATACGAGTATTCGTACACTCCCAAATTTTAAAATATTCGCTTTGTAATCAGAATTTTGGAAACATAAAGACAAATTCGTAAAGCGTAAAAATGAATTCCAAACATCCGGAAATTACTTCCGCAGTAAAACCCACTTGGTCGTTTCGACTAAAAACTTATACACAAAATATTTCGAAAAGAATCGGCGAGACATCGCCTAAAGTCTTAGAGAAATATTCCTCAAAGTTTCTCTGCGACTATAAAATCACAAACGCTCAAAAATTGGCACCGTCGAGCACGCTAGCCGTCCTAAACAAACGCATAGACCCATTGGTCCACATACATCTGACTAGGATAAAATAGCGCACTATAAAAGATATCCAAATTTTTGGTCAGAACTTCCGGGCGACTTAAAAATTATCCCCGACAAGTCAATAAGCCGAGAACATATCGCGGACTTTATATCGATGCGAAATCAGGTTAAACTCGCAACATGCAAAACAGAAGCCGACTAGTCATCGCATAGACTCAATGCGAATGTAAACCTAGGTCTTGCCCTAAACCCAGCACACTGGTCTATAACGTCTCAAGGCATGAACTGATATATGTTGGGTCAAAATCGGTACGACGGAACCAATGACCAAAACTTTCCGCAAAATGAAAATTACGTTTTATAATACACGAGAAGTTTTTTTATAAAATTCTAAGGACTTTCCAAACAAAGGAAATCCACAGAAAACTTGGAGATCGTCATCTCGGAAGAATGAACGAAAAAATTGCCGATTACACGATTGCCCAAGTTAAGCGAAAAACCGCAAAAAACAGCATCTGCCGTAAACCGCGAGCAGGTTCGACCAAACCAAGTTCAACGTACGAAGAGCCAAACCAGCCAGTTCAGCTTGCCGTACGGCGAACTGGTCGTTCCTGGACCAGCTCGCCGTACGGCGAGCTAAACAACCCTGGTTCGGCTTGTCGTACGTCGAGCTGACCGTCCCAAGCCTCGATCATGCTCTGAACCATGGTCGAAACCTCTCTCGTTTTGTCTCGATCCATCTTACCGTTCAAGTTGTACGATAAAAATCGAAAAAGTTTTATTTTCTCGTAAAGTTTGGGAAGATCGTATAAAACGGTAACGATTATACGGAACATCGTGCATTGTCAAAATATACGATAACTCGAGAAATCTTATAAAAACGGCATAGTATCAGAAAACGGTCTCGTCTAAAATCGTAAAATGGTTTTTATCGCAAAACGGCTCGGGCAGCCCATAAGCGCGATAAATGTCCACTTATGACTTTAAATGAAATCCAGCCCAAAGATACAATGACGGTTTTAAGATTTACTCGCAGAAAGAAGATAAATGTCAAGTTTGAAGATAAATGTTAAGTTTGAAGATAAATAGAAGATTTACGCAAAGAAAATGGAAAGATCGAGATAAATGGAAGATTCTTGATAAACTCGAATCTGGGCGAAAAGGAAGGACTAAACCGCCTAAGGAGGGAGTATATAAGCAGAAGGCAAAGGATAGAAGCATATGACGAGTTTTTCAGAGCTTTCACCACCAAAAAACTTATCACTTAGGAATATTTACGTTTTTGTTATGGAGCTGCGTCTCAACTAGGGTTTTAGTCACTTTGAAAGTTTCTCCCAATCTCCCTCTTTTTTGAGATTTTCGAAGGAAGTTAGGTTTACGAAGTTAAGCTAAGTTGGAAGTGAAACTTTGAAAGTTTCTCCCAATATCCCTCTTAAAAACACACAAGTCTTAAATAACTTAAGTTTTAAACAACAAACATGAAAATCATACGGAAATTCAAATATGTCATACAAACCGAATAGAGTTCAAACGCTTTAAAACAACTACAAACGGATTTCACTCCGTCTTCTTACCTACCTTCTTTGTCTTACTCTTCTTCGGCTTCAGGGGTGGCTTCTTCTAGGCTGCCTTCTTAGCTGCTGCATTCTCAGCTGCTGTCTTTTTAGCTGCCTCCTTCTCAGCTGCCTCCTTCTCAGCTGTTGCCTTCATAGCTGTCTCTTTCTCAGCTGCTGCCTTCTTAGCTGTCTCCTTCTCAGATGCTGTCTTCTCAGCTGTTGCCTTCTTCTCAGCTGCCTTCTTTGCACCTCTGATCTTCTTCCCTGCTGCCTCTTCCTCTGCTACCTCTTCATCTGCTGCCTCATCCTCCTCCGATTCCTCCTCCTCCGCTCCCTTCTCCCCCCCCCCCAAAACCCATGCTTCTTGTATTAACGGGACTCCTCACTTTTCCTAAACCCTTTGGCTTTTTTGAAGGTTCTGCTTGTTTCCCATCATCTGTTCTCCCCCTCTTTTTTTCCTTCTTTGCCTTCTCAGCCTCTGCCTTCTCATGCTTCTCAGCATGAACAATCATATGTGCAGTATCTTCATCCATGTTATCATCAACATCACCATGTTCCTTCAGCACTTCGTTTGTAACATTGCGAATGTATTTATTTACGTCATCTTCTTCCTCCGACTCCTTACTCTCATTATCACCAACATCCTCTTCCTCTGATGCGTTATCAACATCATCCTCTTCCTTCGATTCCTTACTCTCCTTATCACCACCATCCTCTTCCTCCGATGCCTTATCAACATCATCCTCTTCGTCCGACTGCTTATTCTCCTCCGACGGATTATCACCACTCGACCTAAGATTTTTCACTTTGTCTTCTAGAAGAGTTACCTTGTCAGACAATGAAGAGACTATTTTCTTCAAATCCTTCACAGCATCTTCGACTGCTTTCATAAGCTGACCGTCCATCGCTTTTAAAGCCTCAGGTCCAGTATCCTCCACCGAATTTGAATGAGCCTTACCAGATTACGCATTATTCGATGGTCCTCCGATAGTATCGGTGGGACCTTTAAGCTTTGCTGTGCGAGCCTTATAATCGATGCGGAACTGTTCTTCAAAGAAAACTTGTGCCGAGCCTTTCTGTAATATCTTTGTCCAACGATCAACTGCTGCATCATCGAAGTCATCGGCCCAACAACTTTACTTGTCCATCTCTATGGTTTCCAGAAGTTCCTTCTCAGCTGTTTTTATTACCAAGATACTCTTAATATCTAGTGACAAATACAAAAAAAAAAAAATTAACTGCCTTAATTTCACCAAGTTTTCATAAGTCTCATAAGTCCCGTCACCTAGTTTTCATGGTTCACCAAGTTTTCATCAGTCGAATTAATACAATTATCTCACCTTTGTATCAGTACCAAGTTTCTCGTTCATAGAATTGAGACTGAATTCCTTGGTTCCACTTTTGCGTTTGTACTCCATCTTGCACATCCGCGGGCAATCAAGGCGTGCACCAATCACATTTTCTCGGAAATGGTTCCTTAAGCTTGGGATTGCCTCAAAGGCCCACAACTACGAACACACAACAAATAAACATTAACATCAATTTAAAAGTAACACAACTAAGTAAAGAGAGCTTCAAAATACCTCCAAAGGAATATGAAAGCTTGTAAAAACCCAACTCGTCGGCGCAACCCCGTCGGATTTCTCCAAGAACCTAGAGACAACCTTCAAGTTATGTTCGAATGCATACCGCCCCCAAGGAAACGTTAAACACGCATCTAGGTCATCAACAAAATTCAGGAAGAAACTGTCCACAGGTGATGCTGCGTCACTAATCTTTCGGCTTCCGACGAGGATGCTGGCTAATAAGTACAGAACGACCATCTTCTTACGATCCTCAGATGGCTTTGATTTCATTGACAACATCTGCTTCTCCACGTCAGCGTATGTTACCCTTTTCCCTCCAAAATACTTGTTCATGAATGTTGTACCACCCAACCTCTTATGGTTGTGGGGGGGGATACTCATGGTAGTATAGTCCAGAAATGAGTCCTAATTCTCTGAGCGAGTATCGGATTGGGACGCCATTAACGATAAACCATAACTCATTTTTCTTTGCTACACAAGCTGATCGCAAAACGAGAAGCCATAGTCCCATCCACTTCTGCTTTCGGTTTTTGATATGGAAGAAATGTTGGAACTGTGGGTGCTCTATGAACCATACCATCTCCTTCTCTTTCAGGATTGTTTGCATATTTCTTATGCAAGTGTCAATGTAACATTTTTCTGAAAGCTTTAAAAACTTTTGATACTGGCTTGAAGGAAAGCTCAACTTCAGTGGCTGCATGCCTTCATGCTTGTCATCTACAACCTGCACTCAAGTGAATATCAGATCACATACGACATCTTACAACCATCAACATATAGTTTCACAAACTTTGACTTAGTTCAGCAATCACTCATTTAAAGTTTTTCTTGATTTCACAAGATTCGTACATATATATTGTTGCAGTTCCCTCAGATTCACAAAATCATCAACGTATTATAAGTTTCACTTTGTTTCTCCAAATTACACTAACTGAAATTGCACTTAGTTTTCCACAATTATCTAATCTCTTCAAATCATCTTTCCTACTAACCGACTCTGCATGCGACTCAGTTCCATGTGGTCGTACAATTACCGCCGTTTCATCGTCTCTTCGGGGCTCCATTTCCTCTTCCACTTCTTTCGGCTCCTTCTCTTCTTCTCTGTCTTTATTCTCTTCATCTACGGCTTCCTTCTCTTGTTCTCCTTCGTCTACGACTTCTTTCTCTTTTTCGTCGGTTCCCGGGGAGACAGATTTGTCGATGCGGCTTGGGTTTGCTTCATCTCCGGATAATATAACCATAGCCGTGTCATCTCCTCCTACACTACTCGAGCCGTCTTCTTTTGACTTCGGATCGTCTCGACTCAACATGATTTGGTTTTGATTCTCGTTTGACTAGGGTTTTCAGAATTTCGATTTGTGCGAACGGTCGACAAAGGGAGTAGTAATTAGTGAAACCTACCTATAACTTTACAAGTTCCATTTATTATTTTCTTTTCACCCTCATTCCAATTTTCAACCAATAAAGAGAAACCTATTCGAGAATTCAAAATCTGGAAGTGGGTATCCGATTTTTTTGGGTTGGTTTAGGGTCCGGGTTTAGATAGTTGTAATTATCTAAGTTTCTCTTGGTTTCGTGATCTTTTAATAAATTTTCTATTTCTAAAAAAATATATTAAATTCCAAATTCGGTCAGTTTCGGGCAGGAGTATATCAACTCTTTTTTTTCGGATAGGAGTACTTGAACGTTTGATTCGCTAGAATTGGACTAGGACGACCAAATAAATAAACTAAAGCCACGTGGAAAATAAAAGGCCCAGCAGTAGCAATGGGTAATCGGAGAGGATCGCAGAGGAAAACAAAAACATTCCAAAAAAAAAAAAGTTCGAAGAAGTTTTTGAACGGAAACCATTTAGCCCAAAATTTCTCACTCTTCTCTCTATAAATATTCTCTTCTGATTAGAAATTAGAAACCCTTGTTCCAAAATCGTCGACTTCTGATTTTCTCTTTCGGGCCCCTTCTTGATTCCTCCTTTGAATCTCACTCTGTTTCCTTCTTCTCCGATTCTTCATCTCTGATTTGAGAGTGGGAATCGTCTTTCTCAACCTGGTTTTCGTTCGCTTCACTACGCTAAAGAAAGATTCTTTTGAGGAATCTTCGTTAATTCGGTATAAATCGAAATTTATTGATACTGCTAGATTGGGTCGAAGTTTTTGGGGGACTGATTGTGACGTTATCTGCGGAGCGTTTTGAGGTATTAGGTATGCGAGTGGAAGAGGAAGATAACATGGGGCCTCGAGGAGACGGGGAAGTGGTACTTGATACGGCGTCGTCTCAACAGCAGCAGCAGGAGAAACTCGTCATTGGGTATGCTTTGACTTCTAAGAAGAAGCATAGTTTCTTGCAACCCAAGCTTGAAGTTCTTGCTAGGTATACCCTTTTCTTATTTTCATCTTTCTTTATGGTCCAAGAATGTGGTAAGATACGTTATTTCCCAGATTATTGTATGGTCACTTTGTACTGTTGATGCTACTGTTTTTGTATTTGGATTTATTTTCCTTGCGTTTGTATGCTTGTGGAATCTCTTGTTTCTGTGGGAATATTCCTTTATATAATCATTTGGATTAGTTTCCACCTGGAGGTCAAAATGTCTCTATGCCTTGACTTGATTACTTTAAATCTTTTACTTTTTGTCATAAACCTCTTACACAAAGATCTAGCAAGAGTTATTTTAAAGAAGATGCTAAAATTAGCTCTTGTTCATGTTTATAGGAAGAAAGGCATATCCTTTGTTTCCATTGACCAAGACAAGCCTCTCTCCGAACAAGGGCCGTTTGATGTCGTTTTGCATAAGGTTAGAGGCCATGAAAATGTTCTTTTGCATCTATCCTTAGCTGTTGGAAAGTTTGTTTTTTCCCCTTTGGAATCTAATGGATTGTTTGCTTGCTTGTAGTTACTGGGAAATGAGTGGCACGATGTTATTCAGGTCCTGCGTTTTCTGTAATATCTTTATATCCAAGAGCTGTCTGACCTGTCCGAATGATTTTCATAAGAGTCTTCCATCTTGTGGAAGTTAGATTGTCATCATGTTTGCATAGTACCATCAGATTTTCTGTTCTACAACTTTCAACAGCATCTTATGTTTCTGTCTCTTCTATCTGTGTTTGTAGGATTACCAGCAAAAGTATCCAGAAGTGACCGTGCTTGATCCACCTGGTGCAATCCAACGAATATATAATCGACAATCTATGCTCCAGGGTCTTGCAGATTTGAATCTTGCAGAATGCGATGGTAACTACTATTTGACAGTTGCAATCATCGTTTATTCTTTTGAGGGGGATACTCTTAATGTTTTCCATTAAATAATGTTGTGTTTTCTTTGTAGGCATGATATGTGTTCCAAAACAAATGGTTGTGTTACAAGATACAACATCTAGTGCCAATGAAGTTGCAAAAGCCGGTCTAAAGTTTCCACTAGGTATCTACTTTGGAGTCAGCTAACTTATAACTTACTATTTGGACAGCTGATTAAAGCTTAATTCTGTATTTTTTTGTCCAGTTGCAAAGCCACTTTTGGTCGATGGAACTGCAAAGTCACATCAGTTGTTCTTAGCCTACGACTGTCTCTCGCTTGCAGAACTAGAACCTCCTTTGGTTCTTCAAGAATTTGTAAATCATGGTATCTGGCTTACGTTACCCCTTAATATATATGTTATTGTGATGTATTGCAATGTGGTCTTGACACATTTTTTATGGCTCAAGGTGGAGTTCTCTTCAAGGTTTTTGTTGTTGGTGATGTGATAAGGGTGGTCCGACGTTTTTCTCTGCCGGATGTTAGCAATGTTGAAAAGGAAAAAGTTGCTGGTGTATTTCAGTTCCCAAGGGTATCATCTTCTGCAGCTTCAGTTAACAAAACAGACTTGGATCCTCGTGTTGCTGGTTAGGACCTACTCTTCTTGTAGAAAAGAAAGACTTCACTGCACTGGACTTGTAACATATTTGCATGTTTATGTTGCTGCAGAGCTACCTCCAAAGCCATTACTCGAAGGGCTTGTGAGGGAATTACGAAACCGATTGGTATTAAACACATCTATCCTTTACAAGAGTCTGATACAACTGTTTCTCCATTCTAAGTCCTGTTTTTGGTGTGTAGGGACTCAGGTTGTTCAACATCGACATGATTAGAGAACATGGGAGCCAAGATGTGTTTTATGTCATTGACATCAACTATTTTCCTGGCAAGTTCTTTACTTCTTATTAAACTCTGTGGCTCAATGTCAATGTTATTGATTTGCGAATTTTCATTCAATTTAGGGTATGGAAAGATACCAGATTACGAGCAGGTATTCGTTGATTTCTTCCTGGGACTGGCGCAAGCAAAGCATGAGAAGGGACTTTGTGTGAAAAGGTGAATGGTCGAAAGTGATAGAAACGCTTGCGTTCTGAAATATTGTGTTGAGATGATAGCTATGTACAGAAAACAGCTCTTTCATTTTCCTAGCAGTAGCAGATAAAACAAGTATTGATTAGTTATAACATACATCTGTGTTTCTCTATGTCTGTTCTACCAAATTTCTTGCTCCTGTAATCATTCACAGCATGTTGCATTCTTTTGCTATCTGAAAGATATCTTTAGAACAAAACCTGTGAGAACGCACTAAATGATGTGTCGGATTGGGTCTCTAGCTTTTAGGTTTTTAGTCTCTTATCGTGGGGCTTGATGGGGACAGATTCAAGCTCACAAACCAAACTCGAGAGTGTAAACAGAGGCCCCTACTCTGTTTCAGAACACTAGATGATTCAAAAAAGAAGAGAAGGGAAAGGCATAATGGCCAAAACTTCCTAGTGAAGTCCAGCAACAGCCCAAGCTGACCTCTAACCTAGTCACAAACCAAACACATACCAATGGTCATAAAAGAATATTCCCTCCAAAAGCAACGAGGAACAGAAAGTGGTAAGGACAAAGAAGAATACTGAGGTTGGAGAGTCTAGCATCAAGCTGGCAAATTCGTTTGCCTTTGATGGTCTCACTGATGTATGATTTGAGACATCTGACCTTTGTTTTACTACTACATTGGATTTTTCACATTTGTACCAGAAAAACTACATTGTAACGCGAAAAATCAAGAGGGAACAATTCAATAATTTACTTTCATTTTCATCCGTTCCTTATTTCTTTTATGGTTTCAGAGACATGGACTTACAAGCCATGGAGCTGTATCAAACACCTACTCTGAGCATCACCAACATCGTCACGGTGATCGTAACAGAGAATAACTACATCATGTGGAAATCGCAGTTTGAAACCTTCTTCAAACGAACAAGGATTGCTTGGATTCGTCAATGGTCAAACAGCTAAGCCGCCTCCAACGATCTATGTACCTGGTATTAACGGTGTTGTCACAGGAGCAGCTCATCCAGACTACAAAAATGGTCTAAGACAGATCAAGTTGTCATCAAGTCTTTGTTTTTGGTTCTTTCTCTTACGACATCCTTGGTGTTGTCGTCGAGTGTACTACATCCCACGAAGTCTGGCGCACTCTGTCAAGTTACTATATAACCGTGCCTCTTCATCTCAATTGTTTGAGCTTCAGTGCAAGATCCAAACCATCTCCAAACTAGAAAAGTCGACGGTCGACTATCTCAAACAAAATAAAAGCCAGATTTGCTAACCTTAAGAGCTGTGTCACTAAAATCTCTGTCCCCTCCCCACTTGGCTTTTTATAAAACCATGGACGTGGAAAATAATCATGTGGCAGAGGCCGCAACAACGGACAAAGCAGGGGTTTCCAACCTTTATCAACCAAAGGACATGGCTCTTATCAACATGTGGTCTCCTCAAGTTGGTTCCTCTGTCTCATCAGGTTCAAGTGACTCAAAAGCGAGGCCAATCCATCAAATCTTTGGCAAACCAGATCACCATGCTCTCTGTTGCTGGCACTGGTGGTGAGATCTAGATCAGCCTCAAAACCAAGGATAAGGATATCATGAGCGAACCAGCTAGGTCAATGTTTAAGGTGTGGTTCAAAGGCCATAACATGGAGCTTATTGGCTTAATCCATGAATTATTGATAGAGAAAAGGTGAGAGCTCTTGATGCAGCCTTAGAACTACTTGGATCAACCGTCAACAACAAGGAAGTTCGAGAACAAGAAGACGGACGACGAGGATATGATCATTACTTAAACATGAGCTTGCTATCATCAATTGATTGCAACATGGGTGAGTGAGAGAGAGTGGAATGGTCGACAATGGAGCTAAATAAGAAGCTAATGGACCAGAGCTTTACTAAGACCAAAAAAATCATTAACATCGACCAAATGAGCCTAAGGACAAAGTGGAATGGATCAGAAGCAACTTGGGTCGAACTCAAGATGGAGATGGTTGAACAAGGGTCTTTCAAGCCTAAGAAGTGGAAGGATCGACCATCTAGACAAAGGAAACCTGCCTATTTATGTTTGAGTTCATGAGCAGTTAAACCCTTAAAATCAGAAATCAATTACATACTTCTAATATCTAAGATAATTCTTAAGTCTAGCTATTTTCCTAACCGAAAACCACTTCCAACCAAACTACTGAACAATCATTTATTTACCTCCTTTTAATTACTGTTTTAAAACATTTAAACCAATTTTCAGTCTAGCTACATTTAAATACTTTAATCTCTTGAGCAACCCTAGAGTCCTTGTGGATTTGATTCCTAAGTACTACCTTGAACCTCTTATTTGATAGAGTAATTCACTCCTTAGAATAATTTGAGTGATATCAAATTTGGTACCGGGGACTCTTTCTTATTACCATAAGACTTAGCTTAAAATTTAGTTTAGATTTTATTACTAAAAGTTTCTGAGTTTTCTTTCTTTCCCCTTACACAGGTACTCAAAGAAGAGACAATTGGTGTAATGTACCTAACGAAGATCCAAATTGGCCGAATGTCAATGGTTGTGGATAATCAAAAAAGGAGTAACCTTTTGACACTGTGCGGATGAAAATGCCCTCTTACTTTATCAAAAACATGTAACTCTAGATTTAGCGGATACACATTATGTTAACTGAACACTAAGAGATATTTATCAATTTTAACATGATATAAAAATTGTTAGCAAATTGACAAAATTTTAACATGTTACAAATTTTGTTATCGGGTTACGTCTATTTATTAATGGGTTAAATAAATCACTAACGAACAGGTTAGCATGTTAACAATACTATTATCATAAAATACATATATTAACCACTAATCAATTATCTATCAAATAGCCGTAATCCTATTTGTAACAACTAACACTCTATGTATCGGTTACAAATTCATTAAAATATAATAATAACGGGTAAATAATGAAATAGCTGCTAACTTACATATTATCCAAATAAAAGAATGTATATTTCAAGATTTGAAATTAGAAATAATAGAATTAGTGTGAGATAATAACATTAGCAATATGAGTGTCAAAAGAATCAGAGTAAAAAATAGAGATTTATGATGAAAAAATGAAAGCATAAATATGTCATGTGTGAGAGATAAAGAGATTAAAAGATAGAAAAGAGAAGAGAGAGAGAATGAGATAGGGGTATAATGGTCAGACAAAATAGTTTCTATTTTGGAAGGATAGATGACAAATATGAGGTGTATTTAGGGACAATCCCACCAATTTCTGGTCAAAGAATGAAGAACATAGATTTCGGTAGAGCATCAATCGACAAGGGATCATCTGAATCGAGCGACACGCCTCTGCACAAATCGATCGACGCAAACCCGCTAGAAGTAGATAAGTTTTCACTTTCCAGATTCAATGAAAAAGTAGTCCAAACTGAACCAATAGGTCAATTAGGAAATAAAATTAGCCAACCCAAAAATAAACAAGGGACTGAAATCTCAGCGAAATTTAATTCCACTTTACATAAAGGTGAGGAAGTAAAATTGCCCTTGCAAGACTACAAAAATCCTGGTAGGACCTATTCCAATAGGTCCGCTATAAAGATACCAGAACACGATACCAAAGAATCTGAGCTTAACTTTGATTACTACATTATGGTACGTCGAAACCCATTCCGTGGATTAACCTCAGAGCATCCGCAAGACCACATCAAAAATTTAGAAGAATTATTGCTAGACGAGCACAATCAATGTAAGCTGTTTTTCTTCTCTCTAGAAGGAGAAGCTAAGAAATGGCTTGATCGATTGCCAGCAGGATCCCTTACCTGTTGGAGCGAAATTAGAGCCGCCTTTCTTAAGAATTTCTTCGACAATACGCGCTACTGGGTTGTGAGAAGAAAATATTCACCTTGCGACAAAATCCACGTGAATCATTCAAAAACGCCTGGGGAAGATTCAATAGTTACCAACTTGAGTGCCTCCATCATGGTTATCCAGAACCACAATTTCTCAACATCTTTTATGGAGGTGTTACTTTAGATTATCAGATCACGCTTGACACAACAAGCGCCTTATTGAAAACATAGCAGCAATNAAGAAAATATTCACCTTGCGACAAAATCCACGTGAATCATTCAAAAACGCCTGGGGAAGATTCAATAGTTACCAACTTGAGTGCCTCCATCATGGTTATCCAGAACCACAATTTCTCAACATCTTTTATGGAGGTGTTACTTTAGATTATCAGATCACGCTTGACACAACAAGCGCCTTATTGAAAACATAGCAGCAATGAAATCTTACGAGATGATGGAAGAGGACAGAGGAAAAACCGTAGACTCTACAACTAGCCCAAATTTAGCTGAAACATTTCAGATTGATGATAAGGTAAGAGAAAGAATTACCTTAGATCAAGCCTTCACAGGTAATCAAAGATTGCTTGCTGAATTCAATAAGAAGATGAACCTCGTCTATGATAAGGTAATAAAGAAAGCTAATGTCCTGCGTGATCGTACCCGGAAGTTGGAAATTCAGGTAGCTGAGAACACAATTGCTATGAAGAGAGAAACAGGATGTCTTCCTGGCAGTACTGATTTAAACCCGAGACGCCAAGTCAGTGACGGTATGCTACGAAGTGGAAACACCTTACCACAAACACTAAAAGCACTAATGCTTATAGGATAGGTAAAGACGATTCCCAAGATGACCCTGACCCGATTCCGGCATCTGCACCTGAAAAGGAAAAACCTACCAATGTTAGGGAGAAGACGATTGATCCAGATGAAGAAAAAGGTGATTCGGACGAAGAGGTAGTTATCAATCGAAATGTTAAAAAACGTCGATCAAATCAAAACCTGGAATCGATCGACATGAAGATGTTGTAATCGATCGTTCCCAAGGACATAAGATCGATCGACAAAGCGGTAATAACGTCGATCGACGTCCAACCCAAAGCCATCTGTAAGAAAGCCTTCGACAAGGTGCGAATAGAGCTGCCACTGAGCGATCCCATGAACATGGCACCTCCCCTAAAGAAATACGTAAAATATATGTTATCTAAAAACTATCAAACTACAGAACATAACGTAATGAAAGTATCAGAGGTAAGTGTCATGATTCAAGGAGAGACTCCAGTCAAGCAACCTGATTCTGGTAGTTTCGTCTTAGATTATAATATACAGGACACACGTTTCCCTCGCTCCCTTTGCGATCTTGGCTCT